TTACGTCAAATTAGAAATGACAATCTCTCTGTTAAAAGTGTTTGTTCTAACCCTCTCTATCACACTCACTGTCCTTTCAGATGGGATGTGGAGCTAAGTCAAAGGTTACAATGGGCCAGCTTTGGCCTGCAGGCCCTACTTTGGGCATCTCTGCTTTAGACTATTTAATCATAATCAGAATGTGAAAATGCTTATCCTAAATAAATAGTAATGAATGTTGAAAAGTAATAGAGGCTGCGATATCTGCTATATGATCTAGTTTTAGTCATCAGGCATCCACATGATTTGATTGATATTTATTGATTAGGATAAACCCCTTGAGATGTACCATCTCATTTTCAAGGGGGTCCCACATTTAATCGCAATCGCATAATAATAACAACCCCCAGAAGACAAAAACAAAACATAAATTACACAACATCCAAAAACATAAAAAAGGGAAGTAGAATACCTACAAACATATACATAGTGCAAAAAATATACAAATCAGTGAAATCAAATCACCACATAAATAATAATACCCTCAGGATAAAACAAGTATCATCCAAAGTAAAATATGATAGCAAAGTTTCCTTAAACACCTATATGATGCAATTGGTCGAATGTTAGCAGGTAAATCATTCCAATCTATTAGACATAAAAACTCTTTTACCAATAGGTTTTTAAAACAAGTAACAAAAAAAAGTCTGAACAGAATGGGCTCTATTTTTAAGGTGCAAGCGCAGAGCGCAAAACGCAGGGCGCAAACGCTTTCAGGGCGTGTCAGAACGCGTTTTTGCTAATTTAAGGACGGGAAAACCTGCTTTGCGCCATGGCACATGGTCTAAAAGGGTTGAGTTTATTTTCTTAATGAGTTATAGGTGTGTTTTGAGAATAAACCAATTAGAGTCTCATCTCCCATTCCCTTTAAGAGCCAGCTGCGTCACTCCAAGAGCGCATTCGCTATTTACAGGACGCAAAGTAAGTCTAAGTGGAAAAACAGCATTTCACTAGCAAACAGTTAACAGTTTTTTTTTTTTTTAACAGAAAACTGTTAAACAGAGCATCTACTGCGTGAGAATGAGAGATAATGGAACTACTTTCACATTCGCTCTTGGATAGGGAAACCTTTACGCACAGACATCAATTAGTCTATGCATAAATAATATTGTTTAAGCGCAAATATTCGTTTCAAAACTATTTCTAAATTCAGTTATAATTTCCAGCAAAAGAATAAATGAACAATAATAACAAAATGTGCTCAAAAACCTGAGTTAACCAAAAACCAGCATCCTAAAACACATGCTGTGCCCCATATGGTCTAAAACCTGACAGGTGGGCAAATCTAAGCTTGTTTTTAATAAAACATATATAAATATGGATATAATAAATAATACTGCTAATAATAATAACATTATACAAAAGCAAATTGTTATGAATGAACTGAAAAAGCCTCCCGAGATAAAGAAGACATAAAAGCAGTGATTTTTCATATTTATGTAGGCTAGAAAATAATATGTTTTGTAATATTTTAATCCTTTATATTTATATCCTATATCTATTCTTATTATATCCTATATATATCCTTAATATTTACATTTTTTCATATGTAAAGATATTTGCCTATTGCTCTCTTGTGCGTATTAAGCAATGCGTAAGCGAGGCGCAACTCTGCGCCGGAGTTTAGACCGGGTTTGTTTTGGTCTAATGAAAAATCTATTATAGTTTCTCAAAATAGCAACGCGCCAGCGGTCCGCCTCAGAACGCCTTCCTTTTTAGACCAGAACGCTTATAGGCGCACAAATGAGTGCTAATGCATTTGCTATTTAAATAGCGTAGCGCAACGCCTCAAAACAACTCTTGCGCCAAACTGAAACTACCAAATGACTATTGCGCCGCGCCTTGCGCCACACTGCGCCAGGTCTATGATAGGGCCCAATTTCTTACCTCACAATTTAATGTAAAAAAAAAACTAAACATTGTTGTAAATAATAAGGATACTTAAAATAAATACATTTAAATATAGATTGAAGCCAGTTAATATGTTGTCTTGTGCGCAAAGATGGCCATGCAGTAGATCATGCATCATACAATGATGGGTGTTAAAAGAACAACCCTGAACAAATCTGCACATTTAGAGGAGCAAGATCTAATTTCGATGCAATCTTATAAACAATTAATTGAAAATAAGTTGAATAGCAAGTTTCTTGCCAACCGTAAATAAAAAACAATGTCTAGACCAATGTAAGGTACTTATTCCAAGGTTGATTTTTACTTAAAATTTACTTGCATTTTACATGAAAATATACTATTTATAGCAAATACTGAAGTGTTTTTTACCATACTGACACCTTCAACAGAGGTAGAGATGTTGCACAATAAGCTAATATGTTTCTAGAATTGTTTTTTTTTTTGTATGTATACAAAACAAAACGTATGTAACAAAATATATTCACACCAAATATGATTGAGGTCATATCCATGTGTTGTGCGATAAGTTCATATGTTGATTATTGTGATGGGCCTAATTTCTTCCCATGTTGAAAATGCTGTCGTTTAGAGCATTTTTAGCTTGAGAAAATGACAACTAGTCAGATGTTTTCATATAGTGTGATTCAAAATAGCAAATAGTGATTTCTAAGAGTAGTAAAGTAGATAAAAGCATGGGGGCTTTTGTTATTTTACACCAAAAGATCTAAACTTTTTCATTTGGAAAAAAATATAATAAACAGCATAATAAACAACATTTCACTTATTACCAGAAAAAGGTTGGTTTGCCATCTCCAGGTTGGAGGAAAGTCCTTACCCCAGGTGGAGGAGTTCAAGTATCTTGCGGTTTTGTTCATGAGTGAGAGAAGGATGGAAAATGTGCAGTAAAGCGGTCGATGTACTGGTCCGTTGTGATGAAAAAGAAGCTGAGACAAAAGGCAAAGCTCTTGATTTACTGGTCAATTTACCTTCCTACTCTCACCTATGGTCATGAGCTTTAGATCATGACTGAAAGAACCCGTTCTCGTATAGAAGCGGCTCAAATGAGTGTCCTTCACAGGGTGGCAGGGCCCACCCCTATAGAGGAGCTCTGTCACCCAGGGGGAGCTTAGAGTAGAGCCGCTGCTCCTCCACACAGAGAAAAGTCAAGACCTTCTTGCTGTGAGGAAAGGAAGGAAGTGATCTTAATTAATTTTATTATATTTAAAACTTCGTTCTGAAAATGGGTCAAATCTAGTGGTTTGAAGAACTGCGTACTGTATGTAGCATAACACTAAAAATGATTATTAATTAATATCTTGAATAATAATCAATGAATTTTATTTAATGGTGACATTACTGACAGTCAGGGACACCATACAAACACCATAAATTATATATATAAAAAAAAACAACAACAACATACACATAAACAAAACTGATACAATCTAATCTTAAAACAATGACATTACCATTGCATGTGAAACATACTTGATTTTTCGATTGGAAATCAAACTGTTTTGATTTGATTTATTTCAAACAGAAAAATCATACACAAAACAATTCTTTAAACAAATACATTTCATCATGCTCGGAATGCAGTGGGATTTTCTCCATCCTATTACCACACATACTGTATCTTTTGTCTATTACTTCAACTTGTTTCTTCTTTTACTCAATTCTTTATTCTTTTTACATGAGCTTTAGATGAGGCATATTTCAACCTTTTGGCATCTTTAAAATATTATTTGGTTAATTCATCGTTTGTAGGGATGCCTCAATATAATATTGAACTGTTTGGTGCGACATCCATGGTTCAATACGCGCTTGTGAATTGTGAATTGTGACAATCGCACAGTATGAACTATCAAGGACGCGATATGAGAGAATCGCAGATGAGTCGCAGACGCCCGTCAGATATTTGGCATGCTAAATATCTGGAGCTGTCTGCGATTCAAATCATGCCATGTGAAATGAGTTCTGATTGAAATAATATCCGCGATCACCTACAGCCAATGAGAGAGCACCATCCACTGTTGCAGGTACCTGCAGGCCAGCAGGAAGTTAGGAAGAGTTTAAAAGCACTCATTTTCAGTTTTGGACCCAAGAAATGGAGGAAAAACTAGTGTAAATTTGGCAGGAGCACTGTGTGTTTGACGTGTCATCTGATCAATATCACAATCTGGTCGAAAAGTTAAAAAAAAGTTGAAGATAGATTGCTAATTCTCGTCAAAAGCCAGGTGACAACACAAGTTTCTAAAGCTAAAGCCTTCTTTTTCCATTCTGTAATTAATAGCGGAAAAATGAAAACAAAACCTTCATTGCAGCACATTATAAAAGCAACACTAACGACGCGTATCTCCATCAATTCTTCTTCCACTTGTTTTGGCAAAACAATGTGGCGTCTCTCTGCCGTTTGAACACTGTAACAGTCTTTAAAGCTATCATATCAATGAAGTCACTGCATCACTGCATACACAATAGATCGCACTGATTGGTTTAAACCCAGCCTTTCTCATGAATTAATGCAGCACACCCAGAGACGTCACAAAGTACTCCCAGATAAAGACAGCCTGTCTACACGCTGGAATACATGCCAGTATCTAATCGGCGTGACGCAGCTTCAAAAATTCGTTTCAAACCGGAAGAATGAATTTGCTCGAAATAACGCAAAAACAACATATTTTCACTTTTTTTTGTTGAGAAATTTATGTGTCCTAATAGTGTTTTTTGCAGCCTGGGACACGTATATGATTGTCAGCTCAAAAAATGTGTTTTGGTGTTTCGTGGTCCTTTAAATTGATTTATATCCCATATCTTTACAAAAATTTCACACTACATACAGATAAACATACAGATATATACATACACATTTTTTTTACTTCCTAAGATTTTGTTCTTCTCTCAGATTATATCCCGCATGTCTATCTTCAAAAATGTTTGAATGCTTTTCTGAAGTATTCCTAGCTTTAAACAGAACTTGTGCTGTTTTAAATTGAACCAAATCATTGAACTTAAGCATCTTCAACTTAAACAAATAAAGAATTTGTATACTCCGAATACATTTTCATGCGGTCTAATTGGTTCAAGCCAGTACCTATTAATACTTTTTAGTCGAAAATAACCCAGTAACACCAAGCCATTCTGGTCACTCCATCCTTCCTAATGCATCCATTATAATTTCGTGACATTCCTCCTGAAATCTCGACCATACCTACTAAGTCGGCCTTAATTGTTTAACAGCCCTTTCCCAAGTTTGTTGGCTCCTGCATTAATAGGCACGGTGAAGTGAACCCTCATCGAAGCTTTTCACAGCCAGCGAAAGGTCGATGCGCTGAAAGACGAGGCATTTTTGATGGATTGTTTTTAAATAGCGCAGTGGGCCGCAGCATTAGGGTTGGTATTGTCAGGATGTTGCGCTGGCCTGTTTTTTCGCCCCCCTCTTGTCTCTTTTGCAGTACAGCTGCTCTCTCTATATCACTCTGCCGTCCTGATCCAGAGGGGGACGTTTTCCTTGTCCCGGGGAACACGAACTAGGGCTGATGGGAGTCCCGGAAGCCATTCTGGGTCTACAGAGCTTTGGGCTTTTCTGGGATAAAACTGCTGTGTGGTGAAATATGCCTTTGGAAAGGTACATCGTCCTCTTTTTCTATGGTTATTGGTGTTGTTTTCGAGTTTGAGTGGCTGTTGATGTTTTAAACTCTTTATTTACTTTGGTTTTATATGTATTTCTTTGCGGCGTGTTGACCTTGGTTCTTCTTAGCATGCGTGCGTGTTTGCTGGTATTACCAAGATGCTTAAACCGCAGCTGGGAAATATGTTGTGAATGCCTTTGTCCCTTCAGCTCTTAAGACTACTGGCTATTTTGTTGACTTTTGTCATTAGGCTCATGTCATGAAGGGGTTCGGTAACACAATGCTGTGGTGGCCATTGAACTTTTAAAACTTCTGGTCAGTAACCTGAATATTTATGTTTTAGAGTAGTGCTACCATGGTATTTTGGGTTTAAAAAAAAAATACATTTATATAAATGCCCAATGTGAAATTTTCAGATGTCTCTGTGGGTGTATGCTGCAAATTACATGTCCCTTTGGGGACTTATAAAGTTAACTAACCAACTAACTAACTAACTAACTAACTAACTAACTAACTAAAATAACAGGTATTATTGAGTTTTGAGCAGTGTAGATGGTCAGTGTGAGATGTTTTAAGCAAGAAATAGTTTGTTTGTTTGGTCCTTGTAGAGAACTAATGTCATTCAAATGTAAAACTTTAATTTAAATGTGAGTGTAGAGCGTACAGTATATCTGGACCGTGTAATTGAAAACCTTGCTTAGCTAACTATTTATGTAGTTTTTTTTCTACATATGCTATGGGTTGTTTTCACTCGTCATTGATGATGTGCAAAATATATATATAGCACTTATTCATTGTTGCTCTTATAGTTGTGTAAGTTGCTTCCTTGTCCTCATTTGTAAGTCGCTTTGGATAAAAGCGTCTGCTAAATGACTAAATGTAAATGTAAATGCAAAATTCTGATGGAGGGCTGGAAGTGGTTCTACATAGGAATCGCTATCAGACCATCAAAAAGTTTCTGTTGTTAATAATTGTTTAAATCGGCCAAAGTAAGAAATGCCGAACAGCTTCGATAGACTCCAAAATTTTTTGCTCGTAAACAGGGGAAAGTTCAAGAAACTGGCTGATGAACGGAAGAAAAGGCGGCATGTAATAAGCATTTTTTCAACACATCCATGAGTACGAGTAGACTACAGGAGGGGAGGAAAAAAACGGAAAACAAATAAATGTGCAAATTTGTGAACTTTATTCAGATTCATCGGATCAATTTTCCCTGCTAAAACAGACCAAAACAGTTATTATTTCATCAAAAATATATATTTTTATATAATATATTGTAAGAGGGGTGAAGGTAGTGCTGTCGCCTCACAGCAAGAAGGTCGCTGGTTCGAGCCTCGGCTCAGTTGGCGTTTCTGTGTGGAGTTTGCATGTTCTCCCTGCGTTCGCGTGCGTTTCCTCCAGGTGCTCTGGTTTCCCTCACAGTCCAAAGACATGTGGTATTGGTGAATTGAGTAAGCTAAATTGTCCGTAGTGTATGTGTGTGGATGTTTCCCAGAGATGGGTTGTGGCTGAAAAGGCATCTGCTGCGTAAAAACTTGCTGAATAAGTTGGCGGTTCATTCCGCTGTGGCGACCCCGGATTAATAAAGGGACTAAGCCGACAAGAAAATGAATGACTGATTATCGTAAGGGCTGGACAAAGGCCTTTCTGTGTTGCAGTGGCAGAAAATAACAACTAAAAACAAATGTTTTATTGGAATAGTGCTTTTTGGATGTTTTCACTATAGAGATGTCTATGTTATTCGCAAGAGTAATTAAACCGCGGACATACTTATTGCCATTTCGACGATCTGCACATTCGTTTGGCTCTCTTCTCTCCGACGGCGAGTTTACTCGCCTCTGGCCTGTCACTCTTCTGAAGCCTGGTTTAATTTAGTCTGAATGTTGGCGCTGGAATTCAGGAATTGCGCAATGGGGTATATGCCGAAGCATGCTAATAGGACTTTTAATTTGCCAGTAACCTGGGTTAAGTGCGTTTAAGGTTTTTTTCTTTACAAATCAGCGATCTCCACTAGCTGTGTGATATCCGATTTAAAGTGGGTCTCAGATTGTACAAGAAGCACTGCATTAAATTACATTTCCTCCGCCATATCTTTATTATATGAGCATTTATTTTACCCCAGTATATTTAATGGAGCTTCTGCGTTAGCCTGCCGATTCTAACGGGCGCGTGCGAGTAAACAGCTTTTTGTCTCGTTTTACGCTTGAGCACCCAAATAAATGCTAAAGTTTATTTAACTGAATGTATTTTAATGACATTACAACATCGATGCTGTATAAGGAACCGTATAAAATGGAAAAAAGTTTACAAAAACAGGTCACCGGAATGTGTATCAGCATGGGAACAGCACTAGCTCAGCATATACCCTATTATTCATTTCTGCAAATGCCGCGAGTGCTTTATTTTAACACAAGAGCGCAGTCATGTACGTTAATTGCAAAAACAGGGGCCCCAACTGCAATGAACCAGCTTTGGGGGGGCCCAGCTTGCAAAAGGTTGAGAACCCCTGGTTTAAAAAATGAAATGCAGCCATACGTACCTCTGGTGGTCTCCAGAAAAGTTTATAGGGCTATGTTTTCAGAATGAGCGTAATGTTGGAAACCATTGTTCGGAGTTCGCTCCTGTTTTAGTACACAACAACAGTAAACAGTTTATTTCATTAAACAAAATTTCCAGTCGTTATTGTTGTTGCCAAGTGAAAAAGACAGAACAAATACATTATTCACATACATTTTTCTTCTTGAGTTGGTCAACTCAACTGGGGGGAAGAAAACCGACAACAAGCAAATCTTTTTTTTTCAGTCATTGCATCATTCTCTGATATTTCTGTGATCCCTTTAATTCAACAAAGCCAAATGGTTGTGGCGCCAATCTTGAGGTTCATGCGTCTCAATGTGCCTTGTTTCCTCCGGCGACGTTGATCGCATGACAGTTTATTCAGGAAGGTGTGATCTCTCAAATATCAGCACTCGCTCTTTCAGCAACCAAACGCGAGGGCTGTCAGCTGAATTGATTGATGGAGAAACCAAACGGCCATTAATTATCCGACCCACTTTAGTGGGGTGGATGGATTGTCCTACTGAATCTGGAAAGTGTCAGTGTTTGTAATGGCCTAGAACACAGGCGTTACTTCCTTCAAGTCCACGAACAAACGCAACAAATGTGGTGTGAAGAGACTTGTCACGTTAGCTTAGTGAAAAAGCGCCAGGCTTGGCCTTCGACTGGTGTCAACCGCTGTCAGCCTATTTGTGGTGGCACTTATTTGTTTTCATCTTTGCAGAATTGCGGGTTTCCTGCTGTGGCTTTGGACTTCGGGCCTCTGAGCATGTGTTCATTGCTTTGCTGACACGTCCGAGCAACTGGGCTGAGCTTTAAGTTCAACACTTGACAGGTTTATGGCACTGGCGACTTCTGCTATTTCACTGAAAGGGAATTTGCGGACTTTGAAGTGATTCAGGAGCAAATGGCCATGAGGAAACATGGAGGATGAAAGTACATCTTGAATTTGAATTTGTGCAATATTGGCTTTGCTTGAATTTGACTTTTTCTTTTTTTTTTTGAAATGAGGAAAAATATTAATCCTTCCACCTATTTTTATGTGCATTTAAAAAAAAAATTCTTAATGGAAAAGCTAAGATGCACATACGTTTTTAAAATGTGCCTACTGTTCACTACTAAGTAAGACAAACTTGTCTTACACACTAGCTTTCAGCTTTGTTCACTCATTATTTCACAGTGTAATGAACCACTAGTTACTCTGACTTGTATTATGCAGTAGATGCCCTTCCACCCGCAACCTAGTATTGGGAAACACCCAACACTCTCTCATTCACACACACTCTACAGCCAATTTTATTTATCCAATTTACCTATATCGCATGTCTTTGAACTGTGAGGGAAACCAGAGCACCCAGAAGTAACCCACGCTAACACAGGAAGAACATGCAAACTCCACACAGAAACACTGACTGGTTCTGAGGCATATTCTGGGTCCACATGGGTCCATATTCCATTTTTGGATGAAAACATAGCGTATGATATCGATAATAATCTTGTTCTGGTAAAGAGTAAATTACATATACATAGCAAAAAATGTTTTTGAAGACGATCACCTACTGCACTTTTAATTCCAGGTGGGACATCCGCAGAAAAATACAAAGCTGTAAATTGTAACGCTGCTGACATTTAGACCAATATTATCCTATCAGCCACAAAGCAAAACAAATATAATGTACTGGATATCACAGATGAATGTTTATTATTACAGAGTTTAAAAAGCAATATATAAACTATATATTATATACAGTTGAAGTCAGAATTATATAATAGCCTCCCTTTGACTTTCTTTTAGAAATATTTCCTAAATGATGTTTAACAGAGCAAGGAAATTTTCACAGTATGTCTGATAATATTTTTTTCTGCTAGAGAAAATATTATTTATTTATTTAAGCTAGAATAAAAGCAGTTTTAAATAAAAAAAAAAAATTTAAGGTCAAAATTATTAGCCCCTTTAAGCTACACACACACACACACACACACACACACACACACACATATATATATATATATATATATATATATATATATATATATATATATATATATATATATTGTTTTTCAAACTATTATGTTTAGAAATGTGTTAAAAAATCTCTCAGATAAACAGAAATTGAGGGAAAAATAACAGGGGGCCTAATAATTTAGGGGTTTTAATAATTCTGATTGCGTTTGTATAGCTAATATGAAATAGCATATTGAGGCGAAAAGCTAGGCAAATTTATTCGATCGAACCTACACTTATAACAAAACAAAGCCTAATCTTTGTAAAAATGGACCTGAACGATATGAAGGTTAATTAAAATAATGCTTAATTATAAATGAATAGTAGATTAGTTCCCTAAGTTATTAGTTTTCCATATTTTTGTGATTCGGTTTTTAATTTTTTTCTATTTATTTATGCTTTTGAATTGCATTATGAGACCTTGATCTTTCTTTC